CTTGCACAAAACGACGATAATTTTTCTAATTTCATAGACAACAGAAGACTGTATTTTTTCTACATAACCCTCCCCTGAATTTAAAGCTGGATCCGACCCTGCTCTTGCCTAGAGAATTATTTCCCACTCTCTCATCGCGAACATTTGCTCATGGAAGTCTTAGGGTTATACCATAGAGAAAGTAAAATTTTACTTACTCTATGGGTTATACCGCCCTTACTCCGTTATAACCACAGACTACATACTATTTATTATAACTTCTATTTGAGACTAAAGAACTGGAGAAAAATTAAGGTCTTATCCATCTATTATTTATCGTCTATCCATTTCCGGGCTTTCCTACGAAAACGTTGCTGTAACTTCGCTTGCAAATTGAATTCTTCTAACTGGTTAGTGAATGATCTATTTTCTTCCATTTGCTATTGAGCCATATTCGGAAGTACAGCCGTTGGATCTGCTTCGAATTGGCAGATTTTTCTAGAAGTAGAATTGCCAGTTTTCCTATTGACATCATGTGGACCTTTGAGGAATGGGGTGTTATAATAATACCCTTAATATTTTTTTTACGATAAAATAAAGTTAAATAAATTACAGATGATATAAAACAACATCTAAACTAAATAATATCATTCTTATATAACATTAAAAAAACCAGATAATACCAAGCTCTTCCATATGAGAAACATTTTAGATCTCAGAATGAAAAATATATTTGAATAACTTGATGGAATCTGGTCGATTAAATGCGGCAGAACATTTACAACTTATTTATCAGAGATCGTAAGTTGCAACAGATAAAAGCATTAACATATTTAATGATGCGCAAATGAATGTAAGGATTTAATGATTCCTCTCGCTTAGGATAACGCAACAGGGAACACCATCATTCTTAGAACAAAACGTGCTTTGGAAGGTGCCCAGTTAATTTCATTGCGTTTGATCAATAGTCTATTCAGGACAAAGTGAATTTGATTGTGAATTTTCAGATTTTTAGATCGAGCAAAAATGCATTTGAATCACTTCGTAAGTTGCGAATAACATTTGCATTTATTTTCCTTTAGTTTTTAGTGAATTCATTATTTCTTAAGGTCATATTACTATTTCCTAAGTCTATTTTATGATTCAAGTCTATTTTATTTATTTTTATGTATGATATATGTAATAATAACTCCGCAGCTACAAGTTGTGTTCATTTTTCAAATTTTGTTTTTGTTTTCAAAGTTTGTTTTTCTTTGCATTTCATGGCATTTCCCCGCTGTTTTTTGTTTAAACCAATTAAGCATGAATCAAATAAACGCGGCGTAAGTTTCTATAAAAAAATCTGTGTTTTACGTCAAGTATTTTTTTTAAGTACGAACTTTGAAAAAAGAGCTGAAATTTGTGTTATTGTTGGGTACCTATTGATAAAAAAGATAGTCCTGATATCATGGCAAATATTCGACGTTTTTTTCAAAAAACCCTTACATATGATATTAGATATGCAATAAATAAATCGCATATTTGTTGCAGTTTCCTAATTCAATCCATTTTGAAACATTTACCAAACTTAAACATTATGTATAAAATGATTTAATGAAATTTAATTTATATTAGCACTCATTAAAGTATGTGTATGTGCACTCATTAAAGTATATACTCTGTATAATTTTATCCGCACGGCTATAGTTTGGTAATAGGTTACCAACTAAGCAGCTTCTTGAAACTTTTCTGAATGGAACGAAACTGGTTTACAAGCAAGTAACATATAGTTTGAATTACCTATGAGAGGGAAAAATAAATTTAGAGTTTTTGGAATATCTAATATTACGCAATTTGCAATCGTTTAAAAACTTATGCAAATTCCATTTTTCTTCTGATCGCTTATACGGACAACCTTTTGGTGTTTCTCAAACTTTGCTTATTAAAACTATAACAGATAATCAGATATCTAGGAATTTATTTACTTTTTGATATTTTCGTGGTTTCGAGCCAAACGATTTAATGACTTGCACCATAACTCGTTCCATAATGAATTTTAATTCCTTTAATAAGGTCATTTTTAGTTTTATCTTGATCGTGATGAAATCATGTGTTGTATACTTTAGCAAATTACATCTTTGCTTCCTTCTTTCATTACCGCGTCACGTTTTAAGAAAAAATATGCTAATAAATCAACTGCCATACAAGCACAATTAAGCATTTGAATAGATTTACAAAAAATCACTGACCTTCGCGATTTTAATTGTTTCTTCCTTTTCAGATTCTGCATTTTGTCTTCGTTTTTCTAGTTCTCGTTCGCACGACGGTTCGTAGTTATTCAATAATAGAGCCATCCACTTACGAGCCCAAAGTGGTTCCAAGAAATTTCAAAGACGCTCGGCAAGCGTTACAATATGACTATTTCCAGAAAGTACCAGCTAGGAAAAGCAACGCGCAACCTACCAGGAAATTTACCTGGGAAAACTTTGGCACTCCAGAAATACACTATAACTTCTAAATAAAATGTCCCATAAAACTTGATTCAAAGCACTTCCGATTGTACCACCGTAGTAAATAAAACATATTTCTTAGGAACTACTAGCTATTTTATTTCCAACTTTTCTCCGATTTCTAACAAACTTATGACTTTTTTCTATACAGTTTTCTGTATCATTACTGCGAACCTCCAATGGATAATTTAAAATAAAATTCGACGGTCCAACGTTCACAATTCTAGCGCTCCCTAAACATTCTTGGCCGTTATAAAACACTGCGTATTGCCCCGGTGTGAGAGCGCGCAGAGGAGTTTCTAACTTTACAACCAGCCCAGTGCTCAATTTGCACAATTTACACTTAACACGATTCTGTGTGTGCTGAAATTTGAAGTCACAGTTCAATACTTTGTTGTTTTGCAATTCCTGAGGGTCCGAGTGAATCCAGTGAGCATCGGATGTGGAACATAGAGTGGAGTATAGAGACGGATGGTTTGTTCCTTGAACCTACAGACCATCTTGTCAGCAGCCAATAGTGTGCGACACTTTTCATTAGACTTACAACGTAGATTATATTATTTTCGACATTTTTTCCACAAATAAAGAATGGCTCAGGTAAGCTTTCTAGTCTCGATCTTTGACCTAATGTCCATTTGTGAATTCCAGTGTGTTCTCCAACAATTTCAGCTGTGTCTAGATCCACAAACTGACCTGGTTTATCTGGGATGTACTATAATAAATTCATTATTCTATATAATATGTAAAATTAAAGGTGAATGTTAATTTTTTTAAATCATTAAGATGACTGCGAATTTTTTCCGATACTTGTTCTAATAGCAATAATTTTTGAACGGAGAACGATAAACTTTTTTCTTGCAAAAAATGTTGTCTCTTCAGTTTCCAAAATCAAAAGTTCTCTTAAAATACTTTACTCAACACCATTTAAGAAACTTTCTCCGGAGTGTTTTTATTGTTTTTACTTTCCTTATACTAAACCTAAAACATCGAGTTTCGCTAACCCTGTACAGATGATGGGCGAATCTGTAAATAATGATATTTAAATGCTTGATCGGTTGTTTCCTCAAGGTCCTTCAATTAAATGAAAAATTTTACATTAGAAACAATATACGCGGTGATAAAAATTCGGGTAATTCCTTTTAAGAGGTTACTGGACAGTGCGGAAAAATGTTATAAATTGTTTTTTTTTCGAGTATTTTTCGAATATGAACTTTCAATGAATGGATGGGGAAAATCGAACTAATTATTAGACAAGAATCGAAAAAATTCCATTAACTTTTAAAAACATCTCGAATTATTTGTGCAATACGATAGTCGATAATGGATTCGAAAATTGCGTAAAGCGGAAAACGATTGATTTATTGATATACATATATACAGGGTTATTCACGCTATACCGCACGGATGTTTGCGGCTAGCCCGTTTG